AAATTGTCCCTTTGTTCATCCGATAATTTGACATTATGTTGTAAAAAGATATTTTCACACAAAAATGTGTCATTATTATAATTATCCTTTTTACTTTTGTACAAGTTTGAGAAAAAAGACCTTTGTTCATCCAGAATGGCAGACTGGTCTGCAATATGATTACCATCTGAGTTAATTAATTCAGATATTGTTTTATTTACATAATTTCTTCTTTCTAATTTACTAAAGTATTCAGAATTTTTTTCACCCATTTCATACCACGTAGCTTTTGAGCGTAACATTAAACCCTTAATTTCTTACTTTAAGGTCTAACATAACGCGAAAAATATTTTAATCTACTATAAATTATGTAATTAACGGTAAATAACAATTTCTTCAATCTTACATCTAAGGGCAGATAACTGCAAAAAACTACCAAATAAATAGAGCTTTCTCGTGTGCAGTGTAGAGCGTCCTTAAAATATAAAGGGAAAAGATTTCCAAGAAATCCAATAAATAATAGAATAGATAATTGTTTATCTTTATGGATTCAGTAAGTTGTCTTTTTATACATCATATAAAATCAAACTTGTAACCCTCATTTTGTTAATTATACAAGCTTGCCTTTCCAGAAATTCATCAGAGAATTGCAAAATCCAAACACAGTAGATGTCCTACTTCTACTAATCTTTGTCAATTGCAAGAGAATTTATCTGCATGAGCCTTGAAAGACTATACTTCTTTGTTGATTTCTGATATCAAAAATTTGATTCTATGATATCAAAAAATCCACCTGAATTTCTGATATCACAAAATAATTTTTGATATCAAAAATTTAAATGTTTGATGTCAAACAATCTTGTTTATTGTCTGATGTCAGAAAATGATTTTCTGATATGAACAAATCGAATTTCTGATATAAACAAGATGTGTTTGTTAAACACTGATGCCCCTGTATGGCAACATAGCAAAGATTAAACTTTTCTTAAATGCAAATTTAATATATTGGTACCAAAAACGGTTTTCTCACTGGAAATACAATTGTGAAATATGAAAGTAGGCCAAGGTTAAAGTTTTTTTTTCATAAGTACGGAGAATCTTCAAGGTCAAGTATCCAATGATATGTCTTGCCACAACAATACATATATAAAGTATGGAAGCCCTAGCCCTAACCATTTAGAAGTTATTGCTATGGTTAAAAATTTTTAAAAGAAGGTCAAACTCCAAGGTCAAGGTCAAAGTTCTTGCTATCAAATGAAAGGTCTTGTCACAAGGATTAACTATATATGTAAAGTAGAAAGCACCAGCCCTAATCCTTTAAAAGTGATGGTCAAGGTTTGCTTTTTAAGGGACTCCGACCCTCAGCCAGGAAGGACAACTCTTTAATTTATAATTTAATTCAAAAAGTCTTTAAATGAAGCTTGAAAATTAAATCTTTTCATGCAACAATTTTCATTATATGCCTCTCAATGTACTTCAAGGTTCTTTGAACTTCTCAGAAAGGTCTAATTAAAAGTAGAAATTTTTATCCCGTGATAGCATTTTTAGATACCAATGTTTATTAACATGATATGAAATTAGAAGTGATTTATGGAGCTTTGCAAAGAACCTTTGCTTTTATTGCAAAGAATTAAAGAGTTGTCCTTCCTGGCTGAGGGTCGGAGTCCCTTAAAAGTAGGTCAAACTCCTTGGTCAAAATCAAAGGGTCAAAGTTCTTGGTATCAAATGAAGGTCTTCTCACAAGTATTACATTCGTGAAGTGTGAGATCACTAGCCTTAGCTTTCAAAAGTTATAACCAAGGTTCAAGTTTTTTCATAAGTACAAAAATCTCCAAGGTCAAAAGGTCAAGTTAACTGGCATCCAATGAAAGATCTTGCAGAATATATAGGTAAAGTATGAAAGCCCTAGCCCTAACCGTTCAGAAGTTAGGGCCAAGTTTAAAATATTTTAAAAGTAGGTCAAACTCCAAGGTCAAGGTCAAAGGGTCAAGGTTCTTGATATCAAATGAAAGGTCCTGTCACAAGGATTAAATATGTGGAGTATGAAAGCCCTAGCCCTAACCCTAAAATCATTATGGTCAAGGTTCTTTTTTAAAATTAGGTCAAACTCCAAGGTCAAGGTCAACGGATCAAAGTTCTTGGTATCCAATAAAGGAACTTTACGCAAGGATTACATAAGTATAAAAGCCCTATCCCTTACCGTTCATAAGTTATGGCCAAGGTTCAAGTTTTTTAACAAGTACAAATATCTCCAAGGTCAAAGTTTAAAGGTCAAGGTTGTTGGTATCCAATAAAAGGTCTTTCAACAAAGAATACATATGTGAAGTATGAATGCCCTGGTGTTTACTGTTAAAAAAATATCGCCAAAGTAAAAGTTTGAAATTTTTGTGTAAAAGTGGATCAAACTCCAAGATCAAGGTCAAAAGGTCAAATTTGGTGGTACCCAAAGAAAGGTCTAACTCTTGGCACAAGGAATACACATAAGAAATATGAAATTCATAGCTCCACTAAATCAAATTTATGGGCAAGGCTAACGTTTTTGTGGACAAACAGACAGACAGCTAGACAGACGGACGGACACGACAAAAACTATATACCCCTGAAACTTCGTTTACGGGGGAATAAAAATATTAAACAGCGCTATGGCGTGTAAAACGTTGCTTTATTGTGGGGATCCGGGTTAGAATAGGTACTCAGTACCCCCTTGCTTGTCGTAAAAGGCGACTAAATCGGGCGTCCCTCGGATGAGACCGTAAAAACCGAGGCCCCGTGTCACAGCAGGTGTGGCACGATAAAGATCCCTCCCTGCTCAAAGGCCGTAAGTGCTGAGCATAGGCCTAAATTTGCAGCCCTTCACCGGCAATGGTGACGTCTCCATATCAGTGAAATATTCTGGAGAAGGACGTTAAACAGTATACTATCAATCAATCATTATCTTGCGATATATATTCAAAATCTTGTGATGTACATCTATGTTCAAAATCTTGTAATGTATAACAACGTTTTACACGCCATACAGCGCCCTATAGAACCGGGAATTGAACTCCGAGATATCATGGGCTCAAACAATTACATTAAACATTTTCCATCCTTAAATTGTCTTTATTTAAGGTTATCCGATCCTCAGGTTCTGAAAATCAAGCATTAACTAATTGAAAATGCTCACAAAAAATGTCTCTAAATTCTCAAATTAAAATGTATTTACCCACGGTGTTTCTTTAAAATTCATCTTTAAATTTAATATTATATAGGGAAAATTAGTAAATCTCGAATAATTTTTTTCAGGAAATGCGATTTGACCTATTGCAAATTTTTAAATTGATAATTGATCAAGAAATACATTTCAGGAATAAAAATCATAGGTATCCAGGCTTTTAAAGAAAATTGCATGAATTTTACACTTATTTGGACTTTACTTTCTCCTACTTACTTCCATTGTTTCATAATATAGTGTATGAAGTGTTTCCTTTCAAAGAAAACACTGTAAATCACTTCTAATTTCAAATCATGCATATAAACATTGGTAACTAAACTAAGGCTAAATTAGAAGAAATTTGATTTTTTTTTTAAAATATGCAAAATTTTACTTCATTTTATGAGGTACAAATGTCAACTTTTTAAATAAAGTTTGTAAAAACTTTAAAGAACATTGAATCATACGTAGAGGCATAAAATGAAAATTGTTGCATGAAAAAATTTCAATTTCAAGCTTTATTTTAAGACTTTTTGAATTAAATTATAAATGAAAGAGTTATCCTTCCTGGCTGAGGATCGTATATCCTTAATAAATGTTACTTTAAAATCGATACAAAACATCAATTTTGAGGCAGATACTATTGTTTGCAGCTAACTGTAAAGTTTCACGTTTCGTCACGATCTTTTTCGTCAGATGCATCCAGCGTAAACAATTCACGTGATTGGTCAACTCAAATTATCAACATTGATACGGAAATAGTCTGTTGTACGAGCAACCAATCAGGGATAAGCTTAAGAAGAAAGTTCCAGTCGTAAAGCTTGCGGTTAGGAGGCGTGTACAATTTACCTTGAGTGCAGCTGTCAACTAGATCGTGACGTAACGTGAAACTTGACAGTCAGCTGCAAACAATAGTAATGTAAAACATTACAAGCATTTTACGTAATATCTAATTTTTTAATTTGCCCCAATTAACTTCGTTTCGATAACGGTCGAATCTGACCTGCGTAAACGCAGTTTTTTTAACGCTCAACCATCGTAAAAATTACTTTCAACCCCATACTGAGTCATGTAATAACAAAGATAACCAAGAGAGGACATGACACATAAAATTAATTGCATGTTATACATGTATGTATATTTTGAACATCGCACAACTAGACTAAACGATTCATTTATTTTTAGCTCACCTGAGCCCAGAAGGATCAAAATTTTTCTGTCGACGTCGTCGTTGTCGTAAACTTTTTCAAATTTTCAACTTCTTCTCAAAGAACCACTTGGCTGATTTCAACTAAACTTGGTACAGAGTATCTTTTGGTAAAGTTTGTTTAAAAGAAGGGCCATGTCCTCTTCCAAGGGGAGATAATTATCAATGAGTGAAAATGGCATCTTTTAAAAATCCTCTCAAGAACCATTGGGGCAGGAAAGATGAAACTCATGTGGAAGCATCCTTGGGTAGTGTAAATTTAAGTTTCTTCAAATCATGACCTCCAGGGTTAGGGTGGGGCCACAATGGGGGATCAAAGTTAAACATAGGATTACATAGGAAAAATCTTCTTAATAACAGCAAAGGCATGATTGGTCATAGTTATATAAGAAAGCATTCTCAGGTCACAGTTACAATAGAAGCATCCTTCTCTTGTACTGTATAGATTCCAGTTTGTTCAAATCATTACCCCTGGGGCAAGGGCATCCATAGAAAGTATAGATTTAAGTTTGTTCAAATACCCCCCCTCCCCGAACCCACTTTTTTAAAAAACTTTTCAATTCTAAACTAAATTTTGCTTTAACCTAGCCAGTTTCTCAGGTGAGCAATGTGGCCCTGGGGTTCTTGTTATTTTTAAAGTTTTTTTTACAAATATAAATTCATCATTTATTGCTTCTTGTCTTCATTCTTAAATAAATTGAAGATATAATAAAAATAATTTTCAAATGTCTCTTTCAGTAATTCAGCCAAATGTGTCCAATTCACTATGCCCAGTTGAAACTCCTCTACAAAAAAGAAAAAAAAGATATTATTGTTCATCCTTCCAAGTATTCTCTGAAAAGCAAGAAAAATTATTAAATATGCAAGTCGTATCTATCGTTTTGTTGTTATGATACACATCAAGATCCCACCACCTTTATTTTTATAGCGTAAATTGTAAAACAGCATTCAATATTGTAACATGCAACATGAGAAATAAGTTCTAATAATCTTTTTAGAAGATTGCATCAAACTTCTTGTCAACTGATATTCATTTTTTGGTGCTTGATACAATGGTAACTTCTTCCACTTTTCTGTGCACTTCTACAAGTAGGAATATCTATGTCTTGGGGCATACAAAAATTATTTTTTTAGGTTCCAAAATTTGACATTTTCTACAACCTAATATGGAAGGACAGTTAGGGCATTTACCAATTGAAACCAGTCAGTAAAGTTGGGAGATTTAAGGAATTGACCAATATCTGGTACAACATTTCCAAGGCATTTTATTTTTACTATTTAGTGTCATCAACAATGAGACACCGCTGTCATATATACTTTAAGTAATGCACAGTTTTTCCTGCTTGTGGAGAGAGAGAGAGAGAGAGAGAGAGCTATTATCTATTTAAGATTGCTGAAACTGGTCAAAGATCTCCACATTCATTTTTACTTTCCATACATGAAAATAAGTTCATCAAGATATAAAATGCAAATATTTCATTTAAATGTTAAAAGAAGGGGTGTAATTAAAATCAATTCACAAAGTAGTGAAAACAAGATGTGCTTGTGAAACACTGATGCCTTCCTATGGCAGCTTATGTTGAAGGTTAATGTTTCTAAAATGAAAGTCAAACTCCAAGATCAAGGGATAAAAAATGGTGTTACCTAAAGAAAGGACTTGTGTCAATGAATATAATTGGTTAATATGAAAGTCCAAGCACCAACCATTCAAAAGTTATGGACAAGATTATTGTTTTCTAAAAGTGGGACAAACTGAAAGGTCAAATATTAATGGTACATGAAGGCCTTATCATAAAGTTAAAAGTTTTTCAAAAGTAGGTCAAAGTCCAAGGTCAAAATTGATGGTATGTAAAGGAAGTTCTTGTCACAAAGAATACATCTGTGAAATTTGAGAGCCCTAGTACTATCTTTTCAAAAGTTATGGTTAAAGTTTCTTAAAATTGGGTCAAACTCTAAGGTCAAGGTAAAAAGGAAGTATTTAAACCCTTTGAAAGGCCTTTTCACAATGAATACACATGTGAGGTATGAAAGCTATATGGCTAAGGCTAAAGTTGTGTAAATTTTTGCAAAAGTGGGTCAAACTCCAAGGTCAAATATATAAGTTATAGTTTTTGAAGACAAACAGATAGACAGACGGAAAGACAGGGCAAAAACTATATATGTTGATTTTTCAATTTCGGGGGAATTAAAAGACTCTGTATTGATATCCCAAGTCTTACCTTAATTTGATACAGCACAAATAAGAATGCAATAGATATAAGAACTGTTACATGCACTACGGCTTCAGCTATCTCTGGAATGAACATGATGAATAACGTTTATGTATTAGGGTACTCATTAGGGCTGGGCAAAAAGATTGATATTTCGGTATATTGCAATATATTGAAAAAAAAATATTGTATTGCAATACATTTCTACAAGGCTAATATACTGGGAAAATGATTAAACTCAAAAATTCTATCATTAAATATAAAGAAAAGTTGTAAGAAAGGTTTGTGACTAAGCCAAACAGTAAGACAGAGGCTGTTGTATTTGTTTATTTCAGTGTATAACTGTAGTGAAATTAACATGATTTTTTTTCTGTTGGTTACTTATCATAGGTATGTGCATACTAGATGTAAAGTGAAGTTAATATAATGAGAAAATATATAAAATAATTTTGAAAATATTAAATACTGCAGTTAAAAATATCACAATATTTAGCAATAGGAAATCTTTGGCCAATACCCAGCCCTAGTATACTCATAATCGAATCTCAAAACTACTCCTATATATTTTAAATATTTTAATTTTCAATTTAAAATAATATTAATAGTAATTTTATGTCAGACATAGACATTGGAAATGGGGTTATACATACAGGTTGGCAAGAGATCGTTTTTGAACATATATCAGAACAACAGTACTGGTGGGTCAGGAGATACCTTATTCATTTCTTAATTACAGAGTGCGGCATAAAAGTTTGGAAAATATAAAATACAGTGCTTACAGTTATTTCTTGAATTTAAAATTTTCTGAAAATACACATAGTCAAATGTATAACTAAATTTAATTAACAGATGACTTGCCTTTCTGTTTCTTTTGTGTGTCTGGATCTTCTTGGTTTGTTTGTTCCATTGGGGTTTTCTTTATGTCATCTTGATTTGGTTTAAAATGTATCTGATTTTCCTCCCAAATTCTTGATACTTTTAAAAATTCAGCCTCTAAAGGAAAGGTCATCATTAAAAATATTTTTGATGTACTTCAACCCACATTTTTCAAGGTTGGTAGGTACAATGTAGGTAGGTAGTTTTTTTCTAATGCTCCTGGATTGATAGATTCGGGAGTGAATATTGTTTCTGTCCTGTCTGTTTGTCTGCAAACTTTAACCTTTGCCTTAACTTTTGAACCATGAAAGAAAGAGACTTCATATTTGGTATGCATTCTCCACTAATTATGCTCTCCCAAATGACACCAAGTTCAGTGACCTTGTGACCTTGACTGTTACAAATATGCTAAAAATAGATTTTTTCGAACTTTGTTGATGCCGGGCACTAAGTGTTTCACAAACACATCCTGTTTTTTTTGCTGACAGTAAACTATCTACCTACATTGAAGAAATTGAAAACTGTAATCATGGTAATAGACTTGGAAATTTATTGATGTTTTCATTACTAACTCACTGAATAGATAGACACTTGATGGATTTTATATTTATTGATTTAAAGAATCGTAGAGAAATTATATACATGTACCTGAGATTTAATTTAATATTTAAGCGGGAAAAAAAATAAAAACCAAGCGCTGAAAAATATTGTTGAGTACTAGGGCCTAGGGGCGATTTTGAAGGGTTGGTCAGAGTACATCAAAGAATCATTCATTTTTTATCGTTGGCCATCAATTGATATTAAAAAAATCTAAAAGGTTAATTAAATACTGAGTTGAAATTAATATGAATAACTCAATAAGATTTCAAATCAGTTACATTGAAAATACACAATTTTGTATACCATATTTTTTTCTGTCTTTGAGACATTCATCAGTTTCCTTTCTTTGTAACTCAAGCTCCAGTTTCAGCTTCTTTAAGTCTTGTCGAAATTCATCTTTAAAAGAAAGAAAGAAGAAAAAACTTTTAAAATCTTATAAAAACTAAAACTAATAAAAGCAAGGAAGATTTTACATGTAGTTTAAAATTTTTTGCAAGTTACGTCATTATTTTACACAGTTATCCATTTGTCTCTGAGTGTAAATGAGGTAAAGAAATATTAGTTTCTTAGTTTCAGAAACAATACTGTGGTACATTGTATATTGCATATTTTTGCCCCCTATAAATGTCACATTTTGAAAATTTCTTGAAAGGTGCTGAAGTTTATAAAATTGAACGATTGATTGATTGTATACTGTTTAACGTCCCTCTCCAGAATATTTCACTGATATGGAGACGTCACCATTGCCGGTGAAGGGCTGCAAATTTAGGCCAATAATGCTCGGCACTTATATTTGAGCAGGGAGGGATCTTGATCGTGCCACACCTGCTGTGATACGGGGCCTCGTTTTATACGGTCTCATCCGAAGGACTGCCCCATTTAGTCGCCTTTTACGACAAGCAAGGGGGTACTAAGGACCTATTCTAACGCGGATCCCCACGGGATTAAAATTGAACGAGAAATGTAAATTAATAAATATGATATAGTTTCAAAGTAAGTTACTAACAATTTCTTGTTTTTTAAATAATTTTTTTAAAATTATTTTTCAGAAAGATGACAAATTGGACCACACGCCTGCTCAAGAACAATATCTATATATTTCATTGATATTTTTCTTCACATTATATCAAAATATTGAGCTAGAGCAGACCTGCGCTCAGTGACTTTTACTCAAAACATGGACCGAATATATACCCCTTTTGTACATTTTTCTGTAGAAAACATGGAAATTTTAAATTTTCTTTATTTCCTGACGTCATTTCAAACAAATGACGTGTTTGCTTATGAAACTATTCAATGCTTCGAAGTCTGCAGATATCCCCCTGTTTTAGAACATAATTATATATTCCTACGTCAAAGTTTGATTTTGCGGGCAAATATTGGTAATTCACGAATCTAGTTCTTTACCGAGATACTGGTCCTTCCACGAATCTTGCTTTAAACTACTGGCCTTTAGAAGTGACTCGTGCTGTAGTACAATGTTATGTAGGGTTGCACACTTTCTCTCCAAATGGACTAATAGTATACAAGGGATAGCGAAACATGACGATATTATAAGTATAAAATAATCTTTGTACCAAGGCATGAAGAAAACGAAAGTAGAAAAAAGAGAGAATTTATAAACTCACACCCGATGTTAATTTTGGATTTTACGCATGTGTATATTGTCTGTTGATTATAATCGAAATATTGGATTTTACTAAGTTAAATTATTTAGAAATTTTCTAAAACATTTTCGATTTTAATTCCAGTGTATATTATTTTTCTTAAATAAAACGTTTCACGTGTACAATTTTTTGTAAATATATTTTTATTTTTCCTTCTTTGTAGCCATTGCGAGTGAGTACAATTTGAAAACTAAATTTTTAAAATTATAATGCATTGATTATGTTTCATTTAATTACCCTTTAAGTGCAAGTGTTTTTTTCTATGCATATTTTGATGAATTGAATCACGTTCTTGATTCTATTTCGAACTTGTTATATATTGGCACTAATGTTGGGCATTATCGCACAGGTTCTCTATTGCAGATCTATGGATCACTGCCTTATAGCAGAACACTACAATTGCATTGTGTCAACTTGCCATTACATTATGTCAACACTTTTAGACATTTACTTACAGTACTATTGCGTTATGTCAACTTTCCATTACATTATGTCAATACTTTATGACATTTACACACACTACTATTGCGTTATGTCAACTTTCCATTACATTATGTTAAGTCTTTATGGCATTAACTCGCACTTCAATTACATTTCGCCAATCTTCCATTGCATTATATCACCTCTTTATGACATTAAGTCAAGACCATTTTACGTGGTGTAAAGATGTTTTTATATAATTTCAACTCATTATTACATTATGTGCACTCTCTACTATATGGTCTAAGTAGTTCATTACATGATGTGAATTTATCTTTAATTCAATATCAAGTCGCTATAACACGGTGTCAGAATTTCATTACATGATGTGAAAAAATTGTCACATGTGGCCAGTTCTTTACTATTTTATGTCATCAATATGCTACATGACAACGGGAATCTATTACATGATGTCAATTTTCCCTTACTTTTTGACAAATCATTATTATGTTATGCCATTGTATCTTTACATTGTGTCTAAAATGCTTAGCCTCTTGTCAGTATATCTTAGAATATTTCAACTCTTTATTGTATGACGTAAGGTTTAGGTTATGCCTAAAAGTTCGTTTTGTGTTTTCAATATTACATGCACATATGTTAAACATGAAAATAATTTAATTTAAACATATCAAATATTAAATTATACACAAGACTTAATTAATTCTTAATTAAATATCAGGTTAAATTTATAAATAGGATCATGTTCCCATGGAATCTTTATTGACGATTGTTTTTTTTTTAATGTCGAAATTCAATGGTCGTTTAATCTCATAATTATCGCAAATCAAATAGTATGTGTCATGCAGAAATATTTTTCTTCTTTTTTTTTTTTTTTTTTGAATTATTTTGAAAAGTCCGAAACTTCTGATCTGACTACAAAACACTGTCCTAAGCTTTTTATCAGTCTTTAACCCTCCTTTTTTTTTTTTTTTTTTTTTTAAAGTGTAAACACATCGTATTTCATACTTGCACTGGTGGGTAGAGGGGGAATCCGTCCCATCTGCAGTGACTAAAATATACATGAAATTAATCAATTGGTTTTACTTTGTAGGACATTGCATTAGTTTTACATAAAGTATAACTGAAATAAGTTGAAACGTCTTATAAAAAATCTAAAGCCTTGAGAGCTTCCGGGCTTTCACCCCCTGGTCCCCAACTTAGACACCATATCGTCCCCCTTTAGCTACTCTTTTCAAGAACCCAAGATCGCCACTGATATGAGCCATTGTTTTCTAAAGCATGGTCAATTAATTTAAGTGAGGGACTGGTAGATTTTTGTGACAGAATTCTTGTCCTGGAATGGTTGAAAAATAACTAATTCCAGTGATGTTGGATCGTTTTTGAAAGTTGGGGAGGTTTGTCAGCCAGAAAAAAATAACGTACAAGAAAAAGCACAAAAAAAAAAAATCAAAAAAAAAATCCAAAACCAAACCCGAAAATCCTATTTCGGGTGAATGGGTGAAAGGGGGGGGGGTCTAATTTCGATCAGTCCTAAAAAAATTCCAAATATACTACATTACCCTTATACTTCAGCAAAAAGTGGGGCTGAATTTCAATGAACATTTTCTATGATAAAGTTATGTCGGAAAAAAGAGGAAGTCTATAATGTGTCTGTAATTCGTCCTAATTAACCAGGACCCCCCCTTCCCAGTCGTGAAAACAAGGTTATCAACTTTGACATAATGTAAATGTATTTCACAGCACGTAATGAACATTTTTAATCAACATGATAAAGAATTATACGCAATGTAAAGATAGTTTTAAGGAGGCTGGCGGGTCAAAAATTTAATCTTAAATAAACCACCAGATTTAACTTATTTTTTTTAGATATGGTATATTTAGCTGTCAACTATCATTTGGCAAAGAAAAAATTCATATATTTTAGTTTTAAAATTTTATCATTTTGTATATCTTTATATGGAGCTCTCCTTTTAAAGGAGATTGAAATAGTCTAAATACCCCCTAGCCTCGTTAAATCACATAAGAAAGAGTTAACATATATTCTTATTAAATATCCACATAAAGGAATGAAGTTTTGACATAATGTAATAAAGTGTTGATATACATGGAACACTGTCTCTATTATATATTCACATTATGTTATAATTTTTTTTACATAGAATAAAGCACTGACATAAAGGTAACATGTTCATACATTGTGATGACCTCGGCGTAAAATAAAGATACATTAACATTTTGCTTTGCTATAATAGAAATATACACTCACAAAAGGGAATGGACTTTGACTTAAAGTTGATAAATTTAATCATAGAACACATGTAAAACGAAATTAACTTGAGTAATGCAATTTTGACCTCACATATTAAAGAAATGAAATAATATAAAGAAACATTCATTTCACGTAATAAAGTTTTAACACAATGTAAACATATTTTCAAACATAATGAACTTTGTTCCTCAAGTTATAAAGTGCCGACATAATGGAAGAATGTGTTTACTTTGTAATGCAGCATTGACATGATGTAAAGATATTTTTACATCACCTCATTTGACATAACGTAAAGATATGTTCACATCACGTAATGATAGAGAATAATGAATGCATAGTTTTATGCTATAAGGCAGTGATGGCGTTCCATACAGATCTATATGTAACGTAATTTTGGATCGCCCCAGGGCACACCTGTGCTATACAAAGTAGTCCATTCTGTCCCCTCCCAAAATCTGTATATACGAAAGAAATTACACTAGTTTTCTAGAACTCTGCATGGGGTCCGTTTAAAAATTTAATTAATTCTGCTTTTTTCCTCTCTTTTTTACTTTACCATGATTAATTTGAAAAAGGTTTTAAAATCTCTTGAAAGAGAACTTTTTCAAATTATATTTTTATTTTACAGATCAACTATTCTGGAACAATTGCAAGAACTTAGTTTTTGGTCTTAGTCAAATTCTTCTGTAAATTACAGGCCCCTTTCTATATTGTGGAAAGAAATTTGGAGCTGGAACTTAGAACTGTGCTACGCATGGTCCCCCCAATCAGTTGTATTACAAAGAAAATCTATATGAGTTCTTCAAATTATACTTATGTGTTAGACATAATAATTATATTTTGAATATAATACATTTTCTCTTAATTATAATTTAATTGAACTATAGGGTAATCTATGCAGGCGCGGATCCAGGAATTGAAGTTAGAGGGGGCTCTAAAGATAGGCAGGGGGTCTGGGAGCCGCCTTGAGGCCCCCAGTGGGTCCAGGGGGCGAAGCCCCCCTGAAGCTCCTGGATTTTTAGAGATTTTGTAAGGTAAAAAAATGGTCTACCAAGTAGACATATTTACATTTTTCTAGACGAAACTATGATTTACGCTAACTTTGACAATTTTATGGGGGCGCGCGCCGGGTGTGCCCCCCCTTAAATCCGCCACTGCTATATGCCCTTGCGATATTGAAATCTGTGTAATCTATGACCTCTGTGTTATTTCTGTAAATATTTAAGTCATCTATATAGGGTATAATAACTTTACAAAATAAATAGAGTATTAAAAAGTATCTTTTTGTAAAAGTGCTCCGTTGATTTCGTCAAGTAATACTTTATCCTTCTGTGGAACATAACCTGCTATTCATGCTTTAAAAATGATATTTTATTTCATGTATGTTACAAACATTGTTGTATTCATGACTAAAATGCATTTCATAATTTTAATAATGGTGTATGTCAAAATAAATGAATTGAATTGAATTGAATAAATGTTCAGGAAAAAAAGTTACACCGTAAGACCAGGAAGATGTATGAATACGGGAAACAAGATAAGTTATTTTTGTTGAAGAAATACGTATTCCTGTGCCTGGGACTTGCATTATATAGTGGCGGATCAAGGAATCTTGAAAAGTGTGGGGGCAGTTTGGGGTGAAGGTAGGGGCCCACAGCCACACCAAAAATTGATTTATTAAATCTTATGTATATTTTTAACACAAAAGAGGAAGGCCAGGCCACCCCTGCCCCCTCTAAATCCGCCAGTGTTACTAATATATAGACCTGAATTATTACATCAGTCCTGATGATACATTACGTATATATTTCGTAGTACTGGTACTGATCACAAATCGAACCATGTACTACATGGACCCTACATGTATGTAAGATTCCATAGAAACATCTTCTTTGTTTGTAAGTTTTATGGTAGAGATGAATGCGGGATATATCTTTTAAATACAAAGTGTTCATTTTACACTTTATAACAAACCCGTATAAGTGGAAATTTTTGCAAGACGCAAATTTAACGAGTTGTCCTTAAAATTGGTATTTTATTTTTAGCGGTATATAATTTTAGCGATTTTAAAAAGTTTACTTAAGAAGCTATTACAAATAAAGCGCAATTTATTTTTAGCGATGTTCAATTTTAGCGATCTTCGCACCCTCGCTTATAGTGCCAAAATTAAATCCTCGCTAAAAATTCTACTTATATGGTAATATTAAAATGTTCTTCTTAACGTGAGAGAAATTCATGAGCAAAA